CGATTGCAGTTGTGCAGGGTTGTGTGAGCAGGTGGGGATGAGGGGAGGTCGTGGTCAGGATCTTGAAAGTCTTGATTCTTCACCTGAAACAGAAAAGATCAGAACCTGGAGCACAGAGGCAGAACTCACAGGGTTCTGTTCTCCAAGCTAGGATGCTCACACCTTTTGGGAAGGTTATGTGTGAAAACTGGGTTTTACTGGTGTCTAACCAGCCTGTACTTCATGAACTTCCAGTCACCTTGTTGGCTTTGTAAGTCTCCACAGTCCCCAAGTACTCCTGCCTATGCCCCCAAATCTGCAAAGGTAACCATGGAAACTGAGGGATAAATATCTTACCTGTAACATATACTTACAACTTCCTAGGTTTTCTCTCCCTTTCTCTTCCTTCCTTCCTTCCTTCCTTCTTTCCTTCCTTCCTTCCTTCCTTCCTTCCTTCCTCCTTTCTTTCTTTCTTTCTTTCTTTCTTTCTTTCTTTCTTTCTTTCTTCCTTTCTCCGTTCTTTCCTTTGTCCTTTCTCTTCTCATACTTCCTGTACAAGGTTAAGCTTTTTGTTGTTGATGTTGTTATTGTTATTCAACAATTTTTTAACCTAATTTTTTGGCCTGCCCTCCTGTGCTTCCTACCTGTCTTAGTACTTTGCTCTGTCTGGTACCTATGCTCTGACACTTCACTGTGACCAGACTAAGAGGTGTGTGGCTTTGCATCTACTCTCTTTCCCGGGGTGACAGTAATGTGTGTAGAGCTGATGGCATGGCTCTATTCTTATTAAAAGGAAGTGCCAAGAGACCTCAGGGTCCCACATTCTCAGTAGGTCTATGTAGACCAAGGAGAGGAGGCAGTGATGGGTGCCTGGGCTGGCTAAACAGTTTGGTGTAGCAGATTTGAGGTTTGATCATGGGGTTGAGAGCCCTTCAGATCAGGTCTGTGCTGTGCAGATGCCCAATATCAAAAGCAGAAGATGGAGACTTCCATCTACAGTCTCCTCAAGCCTTGGAAGCCTTTTGAGTTGTCCATTTTTTCTGCCCACTGTGTACTGTATGGAGACTTTCAATACCCTAAGACAGAGCCTGAGTCCCTCCCAGAGCTGTTCCAACACACCCAGCTTCTCTTCTCTACCACTGACTGAGTACAGCATCCCATCTGCCAGATGATTGTTTTTCACCCAAGCCTTACATCCATTCTCTCAGAAAGATCTCTGGAAAGGGCCATCCACTGGGTGGCTTGAGAATAGTTACTGAAACTAGACACTAATATTTGGCTAAGTGTGGTCAATAGGGTTGGTGGAGGCTACATCTGTGTACAAGACTGTCACTTGGAGCAAACCATCACTTGCCACTGGTGGCCCTTGCATTTCTATTTCTGGGTGCTGTGAGGACAACCCGGGTTTTACCCTTAGAGTTTCCAAATCAGAAGACACAGGGGGAAGCTTGAAAGTTTGCATATCTAATGCATCCTCAGGTGATTTTATGCTGCTGCAGAGAGAATGGTCTGGTCCAGAGACCTGCACACTGAGAACTGCTGTCCAGGGACAGGGGCCACTGGCATGCTTGAAGGATTGTGGCTCTAGGTTGTTGCTGTTTGTCTTGAAGGCTGAGGTTCGTCTCACTTATTCCAACCCAACCTTGGAGTTGACTGCTGCTTTTCAAAGACCCATTGAATTTAGTGGGTTCTTAGTGACTATAGCAGGGCTGTCTATAACTTTGGCCTCTTAGTGACCACAACAGAGTTGTCTATAAATCTGCTAAAGTGTTCAAGAGGTTTTGTTCTTTGAAAAATAATTTTAAACTAGCAAAGATAGAAAAAGTAGCCAAAGGGAAGGGTATGGAAAGATGAGATCAGAAAATAACCTGGGAGACCAGACCTTTATTATCTGTACACCCTCTGCCCATTTTTACCTTTGGTGTACTCTGAGGCAATCCTTAGAGGTATCCAAGGACTACTAAAAAAGCCAACTTAAGAGATTCTTGAGGCTCTGGTATTGAATTTTTCATGAGCATCTGGTCATTCCAGGATACGCAGAATGTGATAACCAGGATGCTGGATGGGAAACTGGGTATGGCTGTCAAGCTCCTCCTCTGGATTTTGGGATCCCTGTGCTTTTGGCCCTGCCTGGTTGGTAAGAGATGGCCTTGGCACATCCTTCTGAGAGGACAGATTCCAGGCTTAGGTCAAAAACACACATCTGGCAGATGGGAAGCTGTACTCAGTCAGTGGTGGAGGAGAGAAGCTGGGTGTGTTGGAACAGCTTTGGGAGGACTCAGGCTCTGTCTTAGAGGCTTGAAAGCCTCCATACAGTACAAGTCACTTTCTGAGCTAGGAGCCTTCTGTAGAAGCCATGTCACCCCACTCAAGCCCCCAAAGGCTCTAAATATGCTCAGAAATACATGAATATAGTTCTGGACATAGGAACCCTGGTGAGAGAAAAGCTGGGGACATTGAGGGTTCATGCCTCATTCACTGTACAGACACCTCTAGCCTGAACTACGTTTCTGTTCCATGATGAGCACTTGCCTTCAGTATGGTGTGCATGGTCCCCAGGCTGTTCAGAACATCTTGGGGAAAAATAAAGGTGCGTATCCGTAGTGGGAACGGGGAGTTGCTGATAGCAAATGTTAAAGGTATACGAGAAGAGCAAAGCTCACCAAAGCAGAGAGCAGCATGGCCCTACATGTGACCATGTGACCTTCAGGCTCATCCCAATACTGGGGAGGAATGGGTAATTTCCACCGGCTTTCAGTGTCCATTTGATTATGGAAGACATTCCTGAAACTTGCTGAGAATTGGGAACAAACTTCTTACAGTATCTTACAAATAGACTAGCCTGGGCTTCTCCAATGATAACTAGATCGCCATCTAATATAGGGTTCACAGGAATTAGTTTCATTCATGCAAAAGCTCCCAGGTCAGCTTGTTCAGGCTCTGTAGTGATAATCTAGAATTTAAGAAACTTCTCAGGTTTGGCCACTAGCCCATGGGAACTAGGTGGGAAAGACCCAAGTCTTAGTCCAGCTGTACCCCTTCCAGTGTGACCTTGGAAAGGGTGTCCACTTCCTCCTTCTATGGCCTGGCCTGCTGTGTCTATAAGGGCCTATCACATCTGCAATTTCAGTTCCCACTTGGCTGGGTGTGCTATATTGTACCTGCCCAGGCTATTCCATTTGACTCTTGCATCCCACTCAGAAGGCAGGCTGGTGAGGACAGGGCAGTCAGCTATCTCTGCTACATGGGTAGAACTAAAGGAAACCAGTTTCTCCTTCCACCCATGTCAGCCACTGGTGCGTCACCCAGTTCCTGTTTCTCTTTGCCCACCCAGGAAGGCGCTGCAGATGAAATCCTGGGCCAGATGGCGGATACTGTGAGCCTGGTCAGAAAATGCTGGCTCACAGGACACAAAACGGGAAGCTGGTTTTCCCAAGAGATTCACCAGGGGAAGGGGGGTTGGTGGGTGCTGTTCCCCCGACTGTGTAGGTGTCACACAGACAGGTTCTTCAGCTTCCAGAAACTTCCCCACTGCCACTGACAATAGGGGCCTTTTAAAGAATAGCAAAGGCACTAAATGACCACAGTTGCCGATATCAACAGCCTGGACCCTCTACGAAGCTTTGTTCTTATGACTTGCAGACCAGAGAGGGTCCTTAGAAGAAGCTCAGCCGGAGCTCAGTGGCTGGGCAATCTGCCCTCCCTCTGCAGCACTTCCTAACTCCATGCAGCAGCGACAGTCATGTCGGGAAACACACAATACACCCGTCTGAGCAACTTTCCATATTTCCTGCCTCTCGTGTCCTTTGTACATTATGCATTGTGAAGGAATCTCTTGGGGGAACGGAACTATTCAAAAAATCATACAATCCCCTGCTCTGATGGTGCAGAAAAATGTGGGTCATTAACAACAGACCCTGGGACAGTACAAAGTCCTCTGGAGCTCAGGGTAAACCCAGGGTAGTATCTTAAATAGGCTGCTTGTGGAGGGGACAAGGGGATGTCCCAGGAAGTTTTGAGTGGTACTGCCTTCTCAGCTGTCAGCAGTGTTGTTCAGAATCACAGCTGGAAACGGTGGCCAGCTTAGATTTGACCTTGCTCCCTTGGGAGCGTTGTCTCCAACCATCTCATAGAAAACCTGTTCCATCGTTTGTGTGTGTGAATAGCAGATCTGAGTGCAGAGCTGGCTCTATGGGTCTACAGAATGCCTTTCGGGGGGCATGGCACCATTTGCATCTCTCTATCTACTGTGCCTTTGGAAATACCCTTTCACTTGTTTGGGAGAGCTGACAATGTGATCTGCAAACAGGGTGCACCTTGGGAGGCTGACCACAGGGGCCTTGAGCAACAATGCAGTTATGAATAGAACCACAGTCTTTCTGGAACTTTTGTCAGCCCTATACTGTCCTTGCCACCTTGGTATTGAATTTTTCATGAGCATCTGGCCATTCCAGAACCTCTCCTTGGTTGTGTGTGTGGAGAGGCTTGTGTTTTTTTTTCTCCTTCTCTCCTATGGAGGCTACTTGGCACAAGTACAAGTGAGTCCACAGTTATCTTCAGAGTCCGAGAGAGGAGGGGTGTTGAATTGGAATTCCCAGTGGATTTGCTTGAGGTCGCTTTGGGTCCTTGTGGGCAGAAGCTCAAGATATCATCACCTAGGGTGTCTTCTAAGTCCTGTATGAGTCTCCAGTAAAAATCAAGAACACAGAAGTAAAATCTCATAGCTTACTGGGCATCAGACCCCACAGGGAAGTCACAACACAGTGACTCTAAACAAGACAGTGGAATTCTGGGAACATTTGCCTTTCTGATCTTCCCTGAATGGTTTTTAAAGGGTTGTCACAGCTCACCACCACTGTTGGGTTTCGGATATCACTATATGAATAGTTGCGTTATTGATTTGATTCCCTGCTCACAGTGGCGTTTTTGATCTGTCTCCCTTTTCAGTTTCCATGTACTAGAGTGACTGTCACAGTGCGGTTGGCAGTGACCTATGTTTTTCTTGCATATTTTTGTTTCAGAATAACTGGGAGCTGAAACAGGAAGCCCCATGACACAGTTGATCGAAAATGACACAGACACAGAAAAATCAGGACGTGCCCCCAGCACCACCCCTACCTGCTGCCTGCTGATCACAGCTGGGAGGCCCGTGAAGGGTTTCCACCTGGGAATGGATTCTAACTACTCCGTGCTCATGGGTGATGGGCCTGCAGTGCTTTGGTGATGCTCTTTTACAGCTGGTTTGTTATTTTTTTAATTAATTAGCTAATCTATTATTTATTTATTGGCCCTCTTCCATGTCTTGGTCCTGTCTTCATTAAAAGCAAAACTAAAGAAAATGAAATTGTCTGTTACTTAGCTATCCACAAACACCAATTTAAAGGGCTCTAAGCTTGAACTTCAGCTAACTTTCTCCAAGGCTACTTGTCAAGATTATCATAACAGCACACATGGCATCTTTAAAGGTGTGTTGAGCTGGAATCTCATCTCTCAGCCATGTTTGTCCTATGTTTTATACCTTTCTAGAAAATCTTTCTAGATGGTCTCTCTAGAGCCGCTGTTGGCAAGCTGACAGTCAAGAACATTGGGATCTGTGTGGACATGTCGTCCCATCACATCTGGCAACTTACCTAGAGATAACTCTCAACTTTGAGCTTCAGTTGGAAACCCCAACTTTCTCCCTTTCCCCCTCTCTACCCCCACAGAATCACTGATTTATAGATTTGATCTATAATAGTTTCTTTGGGGTCTACTATGTACCATGTTCTGTTGGCAAAATAGCCTCTGCCTGCACCTCGCTAGCATGTTATAAGTAGGCTTGGCTCAAGAAGTGAAGAACGGGGAAGTCATGTGTCTACCGAGGACATTTCATTCAAATGTTCTGATTTCTCAAAGCCACTCCTCTTCTGAGGTCCTGTGACTGGCACTTGGATATCCCCTGAAATGGTTAAATGGCCAGTAATTCTTTCTACAGAGTACTCTTCACGTCCCCCAACTGTGAGTTGAACAAATTTACCATCCTGGGAATGTAGCCAAAGAGTCCATTTGTAGTCCCCTTTCCAGAGTCAATTGGTTTTCACTTCTGAGCTTAGCAGAAATCCAAGAATAACTCAGTGGCCGTGTTCGCTGCTTTGTACTTCTCAGCATCAGTTTGCTAATTGGTCATGGGGGCCATCACAGAGGCTCTGGGTGAACGACCCATGGATATTGTCCAGCCCTCTCCCAGTGTTCAGATTCTGGGAAGCCCTCCTGAACACCAAGTCCTGAGACAGCCTCACCCCTGCCATTTGTCTCTCTTATTTTCTGCCTTGGAATTAACTAGCATTAGAAATGACCTTCTTTGTTTATTTATTGTCTGTGGGTCTCACTGCCCCTCCCCCTCACAGTTTCCTCTTTATAGAGGCAAACATGCTGTCTCATAGCCAAGTCTGTCCCCAGCATCTGGCATCTACAGCAGATGTGTTGCCTAGGTCTGTCATCTCCTTGCTTCTCAGTAACAGGCATATCTGTATTGTAATCACAAGGTGAGGATAAGCCTCCATCTCTGGAGCTAGATGCTGGAGGCGAGGATCTAGGCTTGTCACAGCTCACCACCACTGCTGGATTTCTGATATCACTATATGAGTAGTTGTGTTATTGATTTGAGACCTTGGACTTTATTATTGAGAGCAAGTGTGCTCTTGACTCACAAGGAGCCTTCTAGCCTGCTACTCAGCAAGAGGGGTGGGTCACAAGATGATGGAGTGGGTCCAGATGCTCCTCAGAACCAACCTTCTTCTTGCTAATCTTGCCAATTCCAAGTTTGTTTGACTATATTCCTAGAAGATCAAAAATCACTGAGTTGTGGAAGAAATAAGTCTTCAGTGGGGTGTCTCTGCAATAGCTTTCCTCAGAGAAATGCCCTGGGACTGTTTTTCCTGTGCTAGTTCCATCTGTCTGGGCTCAAGCAGAGAGGAAGCAATGTGGAGGAATCACACAGAGAGCAGAGACGAAGCCCCCGAGGGTGGCCAAGAGCTTAGACACAGACATAGATTTGTGCATGTGCCCTGTAGAAGCTCAAGGAGTTCTCTCTGGGCATACCCTTATCCTGGTACAAGGGGTTTGTTTCCACGAGCAACAGCAAGCATGTCTCTTCCAGATAGCCTTCCCTGTCCTGTGTTCTCAAACAGAACACAGCCTACGCCTCATTGTCTCACTTCTGCTCAGTAGGGTGTTTATGGTAACAACAACAACAATAAAGGGGGTCACAGGCTTCAGGAAGACAAGACGCAACCCACACAGCATTGACTGGATAATTCCCTCTTAAGGATAAATTTTAAAAAGTAAAAGAGAATTGGCCATATAATTTCAGATGCCATTGAAGCAAAATTCTGACCCTGACCAGAGAGTGTAATTATTCACAGATTTTATATATATATATATATATATATATATATATATATATATATATATATAAAAATAAATATCACACATACACACACACACACATATATATATATACACACACACACACACACACACACACACACAACTCCAAAACTCGGAACATCCAGGACTCATCTGCACCCAAATCATCAGAATTTGGAAGTGAGAAGCATGAGAAATAAACACTGGTCTTTTGAGTTTTTTATTGTTTTGTGTACGTAAGTTTTTTGCCTTTGTGTATGTCTGTGTACCACGTGTGTACCATTTGTGTGCCTGGTGTCTGTGTGCCACATGTCTGCCTGGTGTCCAGTGAAATCAGAGAGGATGTGGGACCGGAGTTACAGACAATTGTGACCCACCATATGTGTGCTGGGGATTGAACCTGGGTCCTCTGGAAGAGCTACAAGTGCTCTGGCCACTGAGCCAACTCTGCCCTTCACACACATTTTTTAACACTTAGCCAAGATGGAGCAACACTAGTCCAGGAGCCTCTTCTATGTTACCATATCCTTCAGTTGATGTGACTCCTGGGCATTTAACACAACTGAGGAGCTGAATTCTTAATTCCTTTTCAGTTTTAGTTCTTTTAACCTAAGTTTCCCCTGTGACTGCCGCTCTCCTATTAAACAATGCAGAAGAAAAAAATATGTATGATATGTGTATATATATACATACACACATGCACACACACATGCACACACACGTGCACACACACGTGTGTGCACACACACACACACACACACACACACCATGAAAAGGCAATTTCATGAGAAGTACAGGAGCTAGCTTGGCACATGGGAGCAGTGAGCTCTCTTAGCTACAAGGGAAACTCTGGCAGTCAGGCAAGGAGTTTGGGTTAGCTCTCTCTGCCTGTTAACTTTGCAAAGGACTGCCCTCCTACCTCAAGCATCTATCTATAATTTGAGTCAGGCTTTGGGCAGCAGAAAAGGAAATATTCCTTACACTAGATGACTGAAAATAACCTAAAATATTTTGTAAAAAGTCCAAGGCCTGTCCTTTGGTGTTCATTTGGGACAATTCTTGCATCTGCGTTTTTGGAGACTTCACAGTGGAGAGGTAGCCTTCTGAACCCTTATGTATATTTATTGTAATCCAAGAATTTAAGAAAATTGGGAGAAGAGAGGTGGAAGTGCCACCACAAGGACTTACAGCACTGGAAATAGACTCATGTGGGGTTGAAAGACCATCTAGGTTCCATTCCTTGACCCCACATGGTGACTCATAATCATTTTCATTAACTGGGTCTGACGCCCTCTTCTGGCCTCTGCAGGTACCACACTCACCTAAGCACATATATACATGTAGCCAAGCACATTTATACACAGAAATCTTAATTTAATTTTAAAACAATGGACTCGGGGAGAGAGCTGAGCTAGCTCTACCAATGTGGGGTTAGAGATGAAGAGACAGAAGCCAAAGCTGAATCATTTTTTTCTTATCACTGAGACTGTCAGATTTCTTTCTTTCTATCTTCTTTTTTTTTTTTTTTAGGTTGGAGGGAAAGCACCTTAGACAGAAAATAATACTATTTTGAATTTCAGAGCTTTCCCTTTTTGAGCACTTTATCATCTTGGGTTTACTTTGCTCTTACACTGAGGCCCTTGGATCCGCAGGGGAGAGATTGAGAACACTGCTCGCTGCTCAGACAGACTTCCCTGAAAAGAGTTTTAAGGATTAAAAAGTGAAGGTTTAGGTTTTCACATCCTTGGCCACACTCAAATGCTCAGTGTCATAACTGAGAGAAGATGCGCAGAGGGTTTTTTTGTTTTGTTTTGTTTTGTTTTTTAAAGCCCCTACAGTAGGTTGTATAACCAGCCTACCAGCGTTGTGTCGTTTCACCTTGGCCTTCTCACCTTGAACCTGGGGATGTTTCTTCCTTGTGCAACCTGCGAGTTTAATAAATATTACTGCTGTGTCTCCTTGCAAGCTATTTTTTAAAAGATGATGGGTTAAAACATGGACAAGAGCCATGCTGTTCTCAGTGAAGAGACTAACTCTCAGGGACATCCTGGGGTCCAACCTCAGGCTAATGTTCTCACCACTCATCATCCTACTGGGTAGAATGGCAGTCATTCCAGACCACCTTTGACCATGGGAGGATACACTGAAGAATATGAGGTCTCCTGAGTGGCCTGGCCAACAGGTCAGCAGAAGTGCCAGGAGGTCGTGAGTTGGCCTTCTCTGGGTGATTGTGAATCCTAGACTCACTGCCATCGAGCCCACCTGGAACCATACATAGATAGGCTAGGAGGAGAGGTTTTCAAATGCTTTACTGAAAGTAAGACATGCTTTCTGGGGCATTCCCCTAATCGCCTGTGCTGGTGAAGCTCGTCAAAACAGGAAATGAGGTTAGCATGGAATGACTTTCTCTCAGAGAACTTATGTTGCCTCCCAGAGACCACCACGTTCTTCCCAAAAGCTTGTGGTCCAGTGTTACACCTTGCCAGGGTTTTCCTTGAAATGGGTGAGTGTCTAGTTTTCTGCAGACTTTCAGAACTGGCTCCTTTGGGAAAAGCTTGTTCCCAGCCTTTGGACTCCTTCCCCTCACTCTCATATTAGCATCTCTGAAGTGTTTGCAGGTTGGCGCGAAGCTAGATCTGCATATATGCCAACCACAGCAAGGCTGTGGTTAAGCCAAGGACTCTGCACACTTCCGAGGAGGGAGGCTTCACAAGTGCCATGGGTTGTAGGCAGTTCCTTCCAAAGCATGGCTCTTTGATCCTGTGTTTTCACAAAGATTCCAGGAAGAGAAAGCAACCTGAGGAGGTGGAAACCTCCGTGGGAACAATTTCTCCTCTGCTCCAGAGGGGGCATTTAAAGGCAGAAGGAACTAGGCTGGCCCCTTTCAAGTGAGGCACGCTGAGTACTTTGATGAAGCTGTCA